CTCCTTACATCCCCATCCTAGCCCATTCAACGCTTTCGAAAATTCCGGTCCAGCGACTACCAGCTGGTCTGAAGTACACCACTGGCCAGTTCTAGATCATTTAGACCAAATCCATGAGGGCCATCCCCATTCCAGCTCATTCCCAACCTTGGTTTCTAATACTCTTAGAAATAATTGTTTATTTTCCTACTGGGATACCAAGACACAAAGATACTTCGACTTACAATTACCAGTGCCATCCTCTTCAATAGAAACTATCTTTAGTCGCAGTTATTGTCTCAGGCGACACTTTGAAACACAAGGATTTAAGGAATCATCTATCACCATCATCTTGTCTCCATAGAAAACAGGTACCAATAAGCAGTACGACCTGGCATGGAGGAAGTGGTATATTTGGTGTTTATCCACAAACACAAAGAATTTTCATAAATTTATTTCAGAGAACTACAGTCGAAAGATATTTGATTTACAACAGCAGTGTAGAGTTAAAACTATGTTTGTAGATACCATTTTGATGTTGATGTGTCAGTGGTTTTTCAGCCTTGTTTAAATCAGTTTTGAAGCTTTGAAGTTGCTGTTTAAACATGTGAAAACCGAAGGCTTTACTGAAAATAATGTCTCCTCATTCAAGTGAAGTATGAATGATAGACGAGAGGCATTATATAAGTAAAGCCGGAGGCTAAGCATGTATAAATCAACCCGCCTCTATAATAGTTTATTACAAATTATTAATTCTTTTCTTTATAATGTATATATTTTTCACTTTTTCCAACCCTGAAGTTATTTAGTACTTTCAAAACTGATTCACACTTCAGTTGGATGAGGGGACATTTTATATGACTAACATTGTAACTGGTTCTACCAGTGTTAATTACCTGACAAGTTTGATATATAACATACAGTTAGCAGACAGAATTATTGATATTATTTAACAAATTCAATCTATCAGGTCGGCTGGTATAGAAAATATTTTATTTTTTCCCATTGAGTTAAAGGAACAATTGCACCATTTTGTGGACCAATCATATCTTAGTCTGAAAGACGGCAATTTTTAGGTCACTAATAGTGTACACAGCTCTCCATCGAAATTTGAGCATTCAAATCAGAATTATCCGAAAGTTAAAAAGACGACGCGTCTTTTCTTGAGACACTGTCATATATAGAAAAGACATCTATATAAATAGAAAAGACAGAAATTCCTAGTTTTAAGTACTTCTGAAGACTATTTACATATATATTACAGACTCAAATCAAATCCCCAAAATGGCGCACCTGTCCTTGAAATCCATAGACGTGGATATAATCCTTTCTGGCTTTATTATTTATTGTGTTAGTAAAGACAGAAATATACCTTTCTTGTAGTTTCAACCAACCCTGCAGACATAATACATTGATAAATAAACATTGAACATACTGAAACAAGTCCATAGAATTAATAAGTATCTTTGTATTACTCTATTTACAAGACATGTTACGTAAACAAATT